GGGACAAAAGAAGAAGAAGAGATTGGATTTATACCCCGCCCTTCACTTGGAGTCTCAGAGCAGCTTACAAACTCCTCTCCCTTCCCCTCCCCACAACAGACACCCTGTAAGGTGGGTGGAGCTGAGAGAGCTCTGACACAAACTGCTCTTTTTCAAGGACAGCTGTGCCAGAGCTTGTGACTGACCCAAGGGAACCCCATCTGCTCAGCCTCAGGAGCTTCTTCCACAGCAGGCCTCCCTTTCCACACCCCATTTGCCCGCCCACCCCCCAGCACTGGCCAGGGTACGTGGCTGGGCTCCACCAGGAGAGCCTCACCCACAAGGGCCTGGGGCAGCGGGGACCACGGCTGCCGGAGCAGTGAAAGCAGATTGATGGGGAAGGGTTGTCCAGCAGGGGGAAGTGTGTGTGTGTGTGGGGGGGTCAGGAGCAGCCCCGGTCCCCCAACTCAGGAGAAGCAGGCGCTGGCTCCGGTGGCACCCTGCAGAGATCTTCCCTCTCCCTCTCCCTTTCCCCCTTTCAGGAGACCTTCGAGACGGTCTTCCGGGCCCCCTCGTTGCGCGACGTGCCCTGGTACGTCATCGCTGGAAACCACGACCACCTGGGGAACGTCTCGGCCCAGATCGCCTACAGCAGGATCTCCAAGCGTTGGTGAGACTCTTCTGCAGGGGCCGTGCTTCTGGCCACTAGCCAGCTCCGCTGATGATATTTATTCCCCCTTTTTCATCCGTTACTATAGTAATGCCGAAGGATACAAAAAAAAAAAATAAGCCCTCAAAGAAAAATAACTTGCAGTCCCGCTGACACCAGTCTGCCACGACAGTTGAGTAACTGGTGTTTTCACTGAGCAGCTGCTGCACATCCTTCCTTGTTCCAGGGGAAAAAACCCTTCGGAGATGCACGTATCTGCCAAGGAAAGGCTGGGCATTGCAGTGAGTCCCAGGGCGTGTTTTGGGGCACGCAGTCGGCTCACCTGGAGGACTTGTCGTGAGCCTTCTGGGCTGCCTTGCATGAACTGGGGACCCATCCTTAAAGTTAACCCTCTCCTGTGGCTTGGAACAGAGGAACCGTTTTGGAAGGCACCTCAGTTCATAGGTTATTCCCTGCGTGCTGCTGAAAAAACGGTTGTTGACCCCTGCCCCAGGCACACAGAGGAAAAGCGGCAGAGCTCCACTATCTTTCTCCCATTTATGTGGGAAAACACGTTGAAGAGCAATTTAGACAGGGGGAAAGGGTAAAGCATTTCTCTCCCCCCCCTGCCACTCCAGCCAAAGTCTGAGTCCCTGTAAGTGAACACGTGGGGCTTCAGTCCAGCAAGGTTAGTCTTGTCCACTTAAGACTGGCAGCAGCTCTCCAGGGTCCCAGGCAGAGAAAGGTCCTTCACACCACCTCCTGCCTGGTCCTTTTTAACTGGAGATGCTGGGGATTGAACCTGGGACCTCCTGCATGCCAAGCAGAGGTTCTTCCACTGGGCCACAGCCCCTCTTTACAGCTCTCCAGGGTCTCAGGCGAAGGTCTTTCCCATCACCTCCTGCCTGGTCCTTTTTAACTGGAGATGCGGGGATTGAACCTGGGACCTCCTGCATGCCAAGCAGAGGCTCTGCCACTGAGCCACAGCCCCTCTTTACAGCTCTCCAGGGTCTCAGGTGGAGGTCTTTCCCATCACCTCCTGCCTGGGCCTTTTTCACTCGAGATGCTGGGGATT